TAGCGTTAGCATTAGTCTTCAGCGCTGGGCGCTAGTAGCGTAGCTGTAGTCTTCAGCGCTGGGCGCCATAGCTAGGGTAGTACTAGAGAGAGAGATTGGGCGGAGGCCAGGGATACTTACCTGCAGCGCCATTGCTCCAGCTTCGTCTTCGAGGTACCTGTAGCACAGCGCCACCGTCACAGGTTAGTACCTGGCATATGAGAGAGAGAGGGTTCTTCTTCTTCCTCTTCTCAGTCCACCATCTCCCTCTCACCCTCTCATTATCTGACTTCACTGCATCAGCAGACTACGAGAGAAAGAGAGAGGGAGAGCTTGGTGACATTGGATCCAGACTCGACTTTTGGGCTTCAGACATTTCGACGAGGGATTATTTGGGACTTGTGACAAAGACTTGGTGTTGAAGACATTCCCGTCTCTCCCCCTCTTCTTCGTCTGATCCCCTCCTCTTCATCTGTGTATGTCTGGCCCTGGCGCTTTCTTCCTGTGTATAGCGCCAGGCCCCTTCACACCTTGTGATGAGCATGATGTATGTTTGCTCTGCGTAGAAACTTTGATTGGGCTAGTCATTAGCATTCTAGCATTCTGCTTCGCTATCTTGTACTCCGTGAAAGAGGTCAGTCCCGGTCAGGTCAGGACTTAAGATTCCACTGCACTATAAAAGCACCATTTTCTATGTATCGGAATGCACATTGCATGTTGAGACTCTACGTGCACTGCATTGTCCATTCAGTCCTTTTTATCACATTGCGGATCCTTGGTCATTATGTGCATCGCCCAACTGGGCATGTAACAGTTGGTACCGGAACACCGCACGTGAATCAGGACAACATGATCTGACACGTGTGCGGGGACTGAGTAGCTGATTAGTCTGGATTGATTGATTAGAGGACACTAGTTAGCCCCCAAAATCACGATTTTGACATCACTGCCGAAAATCAATTTTTTTTTTCTTTTCTTGGATTTCGTTTTCTCACTAGTTCTGAGGTGGAAAATCGCAATAGTGCAACATCTGAAATTTCCGATTTCGTTTTTCTTCTGAAAATTCAAAATTTTGTTGTTAAAAATCCAGAATATCTTCTTTATCGAAATTTCGATTTCCTTCTGCAATTTCCCATTATATGGAAAATCCGGAATAGTTTTATTCCGAAATCCGTTTTTTTGAAAACGGTACGGGCATCCCTCTAGCAGTGATCATTCTCCAACTGCACGTACTCTCATCTGTGTAATTCCGAAATTTTTTTTTGTACTTCATTTTTGGAATTCTTTTATCAGAAAATCATTTGCGGCCTGAAAGTTCAAAATTTTTTCTCATTGATAATTTCACACTTCAGGGGACTTGGGAGGCCTACTGAACTTACAAACGAGTATTTTTTTCTTTTTCTCGAATTTTTTTGCAAAGTTCAAACTTTTCTTTTTTGATTAGTGGCTCCTTATCTGGGCGATTTATCCCACCCCTCCCCACCTATGTTGTTGTCCCCTCTGGTCTTTTCTCTATCTCCCTCCGGGTACCCCCTGCGGCGACATTGGTAAGCTGCCACGTCAGCACGCCACGTCAGCAGGCCACGTCAGCAGGCCACGTCAGCAGGCCACGGCAGCAGTGCCACGGCAGCAGTGCCACGTCAGCAACCAGTCACGGCAGCAGCAGGTCACGTCAGTGCATGGTGCTCACCCGCTCAAAGACAAGCGGCATGGAGCAGCAGCCAGGCGAGACTACGGAGGCCTATGAGGCCCGCATGCTGGACATGGTAGCAGAGTTCAAGCAACGGGCAGCTGCGGCAACATCCGCACGTAAGAAGGAAGATGAGGAAGCAGAGGAACAGCGTTGCCTCGCTGAACAGCAGCGACAGGCGGACGCTGAGGCAGCAGTGACGGCCGCAGACGAACGCCGTCGACTACGCCGAGACAAACTCCTCGAATGTGAGGGGGATATCGAGGTGATCGCCGGCGAATGGGCAGTGGCTGCTGAAGAGGAGGGTGCCCCCTCTGCTGTGCGTGGCCTTGCAACCACAATCGAACATGCGAGCGACTTGGTCGCCACCTGTGCAGCACAGCAAGAGGACATCCTCTGCATGGACACCCTGGTTCGGAAGCAGATTCGAACTATTGATGAACTGCTTGACCGGGTAGGCCGGCTGGAACAGCAGCTTGCAACAGCCACCCCTGCCGGACCCTCCAACTTGACGGACCGCGTCAACGTCTTGGAAATCGACGTCGAGACTCTCAAGGATGGCGCTTTAACGACAAATCAGCGGATTGACCAGCAAATTTGCGCTGCCGCAGCCAGTCCCACCGCGACCAATCGCGAGAGCATCCCGAAGTTTGACGGCCTCCCGATCTTCTGTGATGCAACGAAGACGGACCCGATCCCATGGTGGCGGCAGTTCGAGTTACATTCACCATGTCATCAACCCGAACCGGCACGCATACTTATACTCCCGCTCAGGAGGCGCGTGCCAGGCATGGCTGGACAACATGTTGTCCACGCACAACGACGCAGTCTCCGAGCTGCATACGAAGATCAGCTGGGCTGATCTCAAGGCAGCATGGCATAAGCGGTTCCACGTGGAGCCACCCGAGCTTCAGGCAGCCGAGAAACTTCAACGGTTCTATCAGAACGACCTGCCAAGCACGGACTGGATCATCGAGTACCAACGCTTGGCATCACGCCCAACTTGTCGTCGAGATTTGTTGCTATCAAGCACTTCTTCATCAGGAGGAGCTGCCCGGCGTTGTAGAACGCCTTGACGCAAGTTGCGGAGACACTCACCACAAGCGAGCAGCTTTTTGATAAAGCCTCGCAGATCATCCTGACGAACATCGAAGTCAAGAACTGGGCCATTCGTCTGCTGCAGGTCGGGGCAGAGGACAGCATCGGCCGAAAGTGGCCGTGGTCGCAGCAACTACAGCGACCGACCCTTCAAACGAGGCTGCCTCTTCTGAGGAAGGAGACAGATTGGCAGCCGCCCGGGATGGTGGCCGCCCCGCCAGAGGGCGAGGACGCGGCAAACCGAAGACACACACCAATTCAGCCCCCGGGGCCGGACCAGCGGCTCAAGAGCCTTGGACACAATACGGTATCTCGGAAGGCGTGTACCGCATCCGTTGTAAGTATCAATACTGCTTGTGGCGCAACAGCGTGGTACACGACACCGCAACATGCCCCACGCCAGTCAAAGGCAAATTCCCGTCGGGAAAGTCAGCACCACCGAGAGTGATGCGGCTGCACTCTCGACGCCTTCGGAATCGGTTGCTTCGCGAGCGACCTCTCTTCATTCCGAGGCACATGCGGAAGTCGACAGCCCTCTCTTCTATTCTTATGAGAACTATGCTGCCCGACTCGTTCCTTCGTTGGGTTCTCAAGCTCAAGGACAAGATGTGTGTGCGGCTTCTTCTCCATCCAGCAACAACAAAAATAGATCGTTTTCAAGTGGCTCTTCAAGGGATTCGAGGCACGAGTTCAACATAGAGGTCTTGAACCCGTTGACGTCCGAGGATTTTGCATGGCTCCCTCTCCCTTCCACAGGCTGCTTGCTGGGACCGCAATGCGCGCAGCACTATGGGCCCATCTCCACACATACTTAGCCTTCTATGCACCACCATCTTCGCCGACGGATGACGAAGCTGCGGTGGGGGACATCCTTGCGTATGTTACCAAGGTGGCCCGCGAGTTTCGCATGCAGCGGTACGATGATAACAACGCACCGCTCCTTTATGTCCGCATCCAAGTTGGGCAAGCGTCCTACAGCGCTTTGCTGGATAGCGGTGCGACTCACAATTTCATCAGTCAGTCCTTTATCTAAAGGGCCGGTCTTGGCGCTCAAGTTCGAAGGAAGCCAAACCCGACGGCGATCAAGTTGGCTGACGGTCGGACGCAACAACTCCTCGATCGCTACATTCAAGCTGTGCCGGTTTATTTTGCACCTCACGCATGCAAACTGGTGATGTTTGACGTCTTAGATACGAACTTCGACATTATTTTGGGGATGCCTTGGCTTGCAAGTGCGGATCACACGGTTAACTTCCATCAGCGAACACTTACCGTTCGCGACGCCTTCGGCGCCGAGGTGCCGTGTACCATCCCTCTTCCGCACTCCTCGATCCGGTGCCAAGTTGTAACGGCCAAGTCTTTTCGGGCCACTTGCGCTTACAAGCGGACCGACGAGAAAGGCCTATGTTTTCTACGAGCCGCCGCGACGACCGAATCTTCACCTACGGACTTGTCTTCGGACCCCCGAGTGGTGCTGCTCGACGAGTTCACTGACATCTTCGAGTCTCCTACCGGTGTGGTGCCGGATCGGCCGATCTCCCACGAGATCATTCTTGAGGCCGGTGCCGTGCCGCCGAAAGGATGCATCTATCGCATGAGCGAGGAAGAACTCGAGGATCTCCTCGCTCAACTCGACGATATTTTGGACAAGGGCTGGATCCGCCCTAGTAGCTCACCATACGGTGCGCCAGTTCTCTTTGGCGGAAGAAGAACAAGGATCTTCGCTTGTGCATCGACTACCGCAAGCTCAACGCACAAACCGTCAAGAATGCGGGACCTCTTCCGCGGATTGACGACCTTCTCGAGCGTTTGGGCGGCGAAAAATTCTTCTCAAAGTTGGACTTGAAGTCGGGCTACCATCAAATATCGATACGCCCGCAAGATTGCTACAAATCCACATTCAAAACGCAGTACGGGCATTTCGAGTGGATCGTTATGCCTTTTGGCCTCACCAATGCCCAGGCGACCTTTCAAGCGGCAATGACCAAGGACTTTCGTGCGATGCTAGACCGGTTTGTATTTGTCTACTTAGACGACATTCTCGTCTATAGACGGACATTGGAGGATCATCTTGAGCACCTTCGACGAGTGTTGGAGACACTCCGCCGCGCCAAGTACAAAGTCAACCGCGACAAGTGTGAATTTGTCCGGCAAGAGTTGGAATACTTGGGCCATTTTGTCACACCGGAGGGCATCAGTCCGTTGTCGGACAAGATTCAAGCCATCCAAGAGTGGCCAAAGCCGAAGACCGTCACAAATGTCCGTTCCTTCCTTGGCTTAGCCGACTACTATCAACGCTTCATCAAGGGATACTCGAAGATCGCGGCTCCTTTATCCAAGCTTCAATGCGAGGACCGGCCATTCGACTTCGACGACCATGCGGGGACTTCATTTTTGGCTCTCAAAGCTGCATTGCTATCCGCGGAGGTGTTGCGCATCTACGGTCTGCTTTTGCAGACACGTTGTGGGGAAACCCGGGGAGTGGCTACCTACGACCGCTGAGGCCAAGGACAACGGTGCCTGTCACTCGCCGCCCGCTTCCGAGGTCCTCAGCGACCGTAGGGCATTGTATGTCGTGCGTTCGGATGTCTCCCCCCCCCCCCTTTTCCCCAGTGATGTTGGGTCCTCTGGTGTTGGGAGGGTCTTATCAAGTTTCGTTTCTGGGCAACTGGCTGGAAGGTTGTTGCGAAAGCACAGGTGGGACGCACAATAGCCAGCAAAATTAACAGCTAGACTCACAGGACTCGCTTAGCAATACCTAGCCTGAGTGTTCACCCAAGATCTGGTCTCGCGAAGCTCGTTTCTCAATATTCACCCTGGGAGTTCATGCGAGAGGTCTGGTCATAGTCCGTAATGATCAACAGAATTAACAGCGAGACTCGCGAAGCTCGTTTCTCAATATTCACCCAGAGAGTTCATGCGAGAGGTCTGGTCATGGTCCGTAATGAACAAC